TGACTATGAACATTTTGTCTATTACGTTGATATCCTGTAGTTAGCATTTTTCTGCACGTTCAATTATTACTGCATTTTTTGGCTGCATTTCATTTCCGGAATTTTTGGTAATTATCAACTTTTCATTTCCGACATTTTTTAGTTTTCATTTCCGACATTTTTTTGCTTTCATTTCCGACATTTTCAAATACATAATTAGTACCTATAGTAACAAATTTGATAACTTTACTTATGAAAAATTTAAAGGAATAAATCATAAATCAATGAAATCCAATTTTGTAAATATATCAGTGAGCTGGACATAAGTATGGTGCTGTTACTGACATTTGATTTAGTGCACATTAAATATGGTGATAAAGTTTTATGCTCATTAAACTCTTTTACCTAGACTTAGTGCTACTACATGTATGCATATATGTATAGATTTTTTTTTTTTAAATTTTATTAATATTTTGGCATTAATACTTTTAAAATTCCGTTTTCTTTTACTTAGGAATCATTGAATTGCCGCACAGGTAAATTCCGGAAATGAAAAAAAAATTATGTGGGAAATGAAAACAAAAAATGTCGGAAATGAAATAAATAAATGTCGGAAATACTATGCATATTTCCGGAAATGAAATGCAGCGATGTAATTATTCGTGTGTTATGATTTTAAGTAAAAACACAATTTAAAAATTACTTTTGTTTTCCATTTCCACTCTAGAGAAAAAATTGACAAATGTTTTATTGAAAAAAAAAATAGTTTCATGGATGGTAAATTTACTTAACATTTAAAAGCCCTTGTGTTTTAGCGGAAACCAGCTTTAGAACACTTCAAATGAAGAAAAAAGCTCCTTAGTTTACCGAAGTGATTTTCGTTTGCAAATTAACTCTAAAGTGGGATAGAGGAATATTCCTGCACTGCATATGACAGATATAGGAAGTAATTTCCTTTCAGCCAGTGTTACATCAAGGAAATTCCATTTAGCTTGTGTGGTTTTTTTTTGTATTCAATATTATAACAAGCTTTCTCTATATATCTTGTATCAACTTGCATGCACTAATTAGTTAATGTGTATAGTGCATTGTTGATTTATACGACTATTCATTTTAGAATACAATGCTAGCAAAATTCTCAAGTAGAATGTAATGAAAATACTGAACAAATATTAGAAACATTTATTTTATATCGATTCTATGCATTTACTTTGGGTTATTTCAAAAGCGAAAAACATGAAAAAGATTGTTTTTTTTATATTTTCTGTAAACATTTCATTACTATCTGCAAAATAAAAGTTTTCAATTTAAAAAATGAAACATCTCAATATCATGCTTAACATGTGGCTATTTTTTTTATGTTCCCTTCATTTATAACATGATTTTGAAGCAAACATTTGTTATTTTCATGTTCTCTATTGATTAACTTCCGAATAAAAGAAAAAGAGCACTGTTTTTCCTGACGCGTGTTTTTTGGCGTGCAATTTTTTAGACAAAGCTATTTTGAAGTATCATTTTCTATTTATTTTTTGTCTGTTGATTTGATTTTTTGGATTCCCAAAAAAAATTCCTTTAGTTATCAAAAAGGTTTTCACTGGAAAGTATATATCCACTTGAGGAATGTTACTTTCGGTTTGGCTTTGGTAAAAAAAAAAAACAGCAGGACGTAAGTCAACAGCAGGTAAGATTTAACATGCTTTGTAAATGAAAAACAAAATTTTAATTTCAAAAATGAATTTTACAGAGAATTCAAAAAATTCAACCTTAAAAATCATAAAGTGAAATTATTACAAATGTCCTCATTATTACAAATGTCCGCTTTCGTTTTAATAAATACATGTACCTAAAGTGAAGTGACATTTGGATTGGAGTTCGCGTAGTGAAATATTTAAATCAAATTATACGACATTGTTTGAAAATTCATTCTTTTCTTCAAATTCAGAGTGAGAAGTTAGTACGTTTTTTAAAGTAAAGGGGTTCATTGTTTGTATTGATTGTATATATATCATCGGTAAGTTTAAAGAGTGAAATACAAGCGAGATTTTTTTAATAATAAAAGCAGATAGAACAAAAGGCTCATGAATCTAACGCTTACCTGGGATCTTGGTTCTGTTGTTCTTCAAACTACACCCCTTCTTTATTCCAGTTAAATAATTAACACATATAAGTGGCCTTCATGTGCTGGAAAAGATTTGATTTTATAAACAAGCATTTTCTAAAACGAAAGAAAGATGATTGATTTTTATGCGCCCGGATCGATAGATCCGAGGCGTATATTGTTTTTGTCCTGTCTGTTTGTCTGTTTATCTGTTTGTCTGTTTGTCTATTTGTCTGTTTGTCTGTCTGTCTGTTGTCAACTTTAACCTTCGCCATAACTTTTGAACCATGAAAGATAGAGACTTCATATTTGGTATGCATACTCCACCAATGAAGTTCTTTCAAATGACACCAAGGTCAATGACCTTGTGACCTTAACTAAGACCTTTATGCTAAAAATAGATTTTACAATCTTTCTCCATAACTTTTGAACCATGACAGATAGAGACTTCATATTTGGTGAGCATACTCCACTCATGAAGTTCTTCAAATGACACCAAGGTCAATGACCTTGTGACCTTGAGTTATCTTCTGAAAATATTTTTTTAAACTTTGTTGCCGTCGGGCGCATAGTGTTTCACAAAAACATCTTGTTTTACTCTACCATTACCCTGAGGCAAGTGTACATACTGCTTACTTTTGCAGTCATTAAAAAATTGTTTTGGATAGATTCAACGCTTTGAGAAACCATGCAGACTGTAAAGACATCGAGATGTTAACCAAGAGATCATGGCTAACACTGAACAAGCATTGAAAGATAAAAAATTTTGCGACCCTCAGTAATATCTCAACATTATCCAAAAGTTTCGGCATTTGTCTTTCATTTAAAAAAAAATATGTACCTGGGTTTTATTTTGAAAACATTTCATAATTCAAACTTTGTTTATGTTTTTTTTTGTAGTTTTTGAGAATCAAAATTTTATTTTCAAGGCGTCTAGATTACTAAGTATGTTGTAGCACAGGCAGTCTGATGTTCAGCATTTACAGCAGTTAATTTTTTATCAGAAAAAGATAGAGAATTAGTATAACATGTGTCGGATCTTGCATTGTATGGCCAATTAACTTTAAAACATACCACTAAAACAGTTTGGATACATACAAAAATTCAGGGATATTTTACAATAGTAAGGTTTTTTATCAGCGAGGTAGCGGTTATTTATATATCTCCTACCTCATGTCTATAAAAGAAAAAGAAACACGAAAAGCTTCAGTAATTTTGTAATGTTTTGAGTAGGAAAATGGAGCGTGATATTCAAACATGTCTATATAGAATTGGCCTCAATTATAATTTAATATTTATCAATATAAAAATTGAAATTTTTATCAAAGATTAGCGTACAATTTTTCCTTCCTTTTTCAAAATTCCAGACTTCTGTCACTTAGCTTCGGTATCTCTGTGAAGAAGAATTTCCTGATACTGTAAAGTAATGGCTACAGATGGCGGTAGCAGGTTCGTTATTGTGGGGAATATCAGGGTTCGTGTTATCAAGGGGAACCTCTCTGACCAACAGGTAACCGAGAGAATTGTCAATTATTTTAACATCTGTCCTTTCTAAATTATTACTTAATCTGCACTTTAAGTAGTTACACAAATAATAATCTCATTTCCTTCTGCTTTCAAAGAAATGAAGATCAAAGAGTTAACTGTCTTTCAGAAATAGGATTCAGTACAATTCTGAGATATGCAAGATTACTAGTATCTTTAGAAATACCTCTTCCTATGAGGACTTCTGTTTTCTTCTATTTGAAGATAAAATTCTTGTTTGTCTTGACCCCTTGTCCTTTCAATGTAATTCAAGGTTGATGTTATAGTAAATAGCAATGGATCTGACCTTGACCTGAGTAAAGGTCGTGCTTCTAAGGCTCTGTTAAATGCTGCTGGTTTCGGAATTCAGTTGGAATGCCAACAGAGATATCCTAATGGGATACAGGACGGAACAATTGCCATTACCTCCGGGGGACAGCTTTCTTGCAAGGCAATTTATCACGGGGCGCTGGCAAAATACTCTTCAAAACAAGATGAACAGGTTTATAATTTTATGTATTCAAAACCATTTATGATCTTTGGAATGGAAATTGTTTTTACATTTTACATATGATAAATTGCAGAAACCATTTAAATTAAATTTTTTTTCATTACCGATGTTTCTTTCCTATAAATATATTAAATCCACACCTACTATCTTTTTAGATACTTCAAAATCTCATCGATGCATCATTGAAACAAGCGGAATCAGATGGTCATCAGACGATCGCCTTTCCCGCGCTTGGTGCTGGAAAGCTTGGTTACCCTGCAGCAACTGTTGCCGAAATCATGTTAACTTGTGTAAAAAATATTACGCCACAATCACTTCAGGAAGTCCTCGTTGTGATCTTCAAGAAAGATCACGATCTTTTCAAGGTAAATTGTAAATCTCTCGACAATATACATTTTTTGCCTAAAAATTAAGGACCCACTGGAAATCTGCTAATGATTTTAATTAGTTGACAAGGGATGCTTACTCCTCTATGGAACATGATCCCATCTCTGATGTCTTTAGCGGTTAATGTTTGTTTTGTTCTCAATTATAGTTATCTAAATGAACATTTGAACTTGATTACTTTTCGTTTTCTCCTTATTTCAATATATTTGCTTTGATTCCAGAAACAATGGAGTGTATCTTAAACATTCCCTAGATTTCTGTAAACTGAGACGGAGACGGAGAAACACGTGTTTTCGTTCTTAATTTGTTTTATTGAGAATGGGTAAATACATGTAAATGATGTATGCCAATGCTTTAAATGATATTTAAAACAGCAACACTGATTTTATTTTTACATATATTGTCAGCAATCTAATCTGTCGGGTTTTTCCATCACTGAGTGCATATTTTACGAGAATCGTTTTTCAAATTCCATAGTAAATGAGCTGCATTTTATGTAAAACGTTATGTATTTCCTCATTCTATTTTTTTTCCTCGTTCCAATGCATGAGGGAAAAAAAATAATGAAGAAAAAATTAATATGGAAAGGGAAAGCATAGAATGAAAAATAAAATCAATATTAACCAATTAGTGCATGCGTACAACTGCATCAAGAACAGTCAACCAGTGTGTCCCCATTTCTTACACATACCATCAAGCAACAGATTTTCACCTGGCTGGAAAAGAAATATTAAAGATACAGCTCCATTGTTTCTGGAATCTTTTATCGGTATTTTGGGGCCTACGAATGAAGGTTAAGATTTTGTTGTCGGAAATAAAAATAAAATAAAACAGACAACAACAACCAAAAAACACACAGGGATCAAAGGCGAAAACAAAAAACAATCTTTCTGCATTTTGTAATCAATTGAAATAATGTGTACAACATTTAATAAACAACTAAAAATGAGGTGAGCAGGAGAAAATAGAGGGAAAATCAGAAACACATGTATTTGATTTTGTCCCTTCTAAGTTTACAGATAATCTTCCCAATAAATCTAATGAATGTCAAGTAGTATCGAATGTATTTTGTCTCAAGATTTGTACATGTAAAAATTTATATTACTACTTCATACGTGTTGTCATTTATTCTGCGTACATATAATAGAGCTACTCTTACTTGTATTTTGACGGCTCATATCGGCCTTCGTATTCTGAGAGTGTAATATTTTTCATTTCTTCAGTAATTTCTTAACGGAATTGCTTTCCAGGAATAATTTTTTAGAAGTGCTTTCAAATGTTAGTTTTGTTAGGTAATACTAGTATTGTTGCCTTTTGTATTATAGATACATGAAGATAAGTGATATTATTAGCATATTTTATTACTAAGATTTGATAGCTAAAGCAACTTAAAAGATGTTTTTAATCTGTAATGAGGAACTAAAAAATATAATAATGTAATGACTCGGCTTTAAAAATTGCTAAAAGGTTAAATCATTCAGTACTTCGAGACTGATTCATATTATGCTTTTAGAAGTGAAGCAGTTTTATAGACTTGTTTAACTCTATTATTTCCTCCAACTCATTTTATTCATTTTCTTGCAGACGTTTTTGACAGTGGCTAAAACTTACATACCTTCACAGGCAGGTGAGCTAGTATGTGGTTGAGGAATTGTAACAAAACGCGAATTATCATATACATATACAGTTAATAAATAGAATGGTAGTTTTTGAGTTTAAATAATCGATGAATACGAGAGCTGTTCAATAAATAATGTCCTGAACTGTATGGCATACATACGAAAGCCCAGAAGGCTCATTCGAGATTCGAGTTTCAAAGTACGAGATTCGAAATTCGAGATTCGAAATTCGAGTTTCGAGATTCAAGATCCAAACCAACCAATCAGAAGCGAGTTTCAAAGTACGAGATTCGAAATTCGAGATTCGAAATTCGAGATTCGAAATTCAAGATCCAAACTAGCCAATCAAAAGCGGGTTCAACCTTTGATTACTCCCCTTTATTATGTTTTTACTATGAAGAAATCGTTTAAAATAATTATAACAAATGGGTCATTTAATTATATTACAATGCAAGAAAGAGTGTTATATATATTAGAAGGAAATTTTCATAATTATTGGATTTTTGATCAGAAAAATATACTTCAATCTAAATTATAGCTTCTTAAATATTAAAAAAATTACTTATATCATGAGTATATATATTTATTTGTATTGTCTTCTAAACTTAATTTTTATGTATTTTCCCGCATAGGAAAACCAAATGTACTTGTGGACAGGGCATCCCCCCCTCTCGATATTCAACCCCAGGGCTTATTGGACTTTTTTCACAACATATATCTAATACACTTATTCATCGTGTGTTCAATGCCAAAAAAAAAAATCGTAAAAACCCAGAATAATCGCTCAACACAAAAAATACCCCACTATACATTATAAGAGAGAAAATATGCCACGTGCACTCCAGTTTGTTTACGTTGTACGCCCGCTGCTATTTCTAGGTTTAAAACCATGCATTTATTTTAACTTAAAATGTTGATTAAAATTAACTGTCTCTACATATATTTCTGTCTTAGTCCATGCTATCGGATTGACTCTGCATCTCGTAATAATCCCATATTTTCTCCTTAAATGACACCTCTCTTGTATAGTGGGGTGGGGTAATGTATAATGTTTTTTTTTTTTTTTTTGGTTAAACGATTATTCTGGGGGTTTTACGCCCGTGATGTTTTCGTATTGTACACATTAATAAGTGTAATAAATATAATTTGTTAAAAAAATTGTCCAGTAAGCCCTGGTATTGAATATCGAGGGGGGGAGGGGTCCTGTCCACAAGTACCTGTGGTTTTCCTATGCGCGGAAATACAAAAAAAAAATAATAAGTGTAGAAGATAATACAAAAATATATATACTCCTGATATATGTAATCTATTTAATATTTAAGAAGCTATAATATAAATTGAAGTATATCTTGCTGCAAAAATCCAATAATTATTTAAATTTCCTTCTAATATATATAAAACACTTTTTCTTGCATTGAAATTTAATCAAATGACCCATCGGTTATAATTATTTTAAACGATTTCTTGATAGTAAAAACATAATAAAGGGGAGTAATCAAATGTTGAATCCGCTTTTGATTGGTTAGTTTGGATCTTGAATCTCGAAACTCGTATTTCGAATCTCGAATTTCGAATCTCGTATTTTGAATCTCGAATCTCGAATGAGCCTTCTGGGCTTTCGTACATACAATACAGATATCATATGACATTAAGTTTGACTTTCTCCCATTATTGAATCTTTAAGGAATTTATAACAGTTTATGTGACCACTTTTCATCACATAGTTTCATTGTGAGGAGCTGTAAAAAAAAAAAAGGCTATTCGAGACACTGCATTATAAATGAATGGAAAAGAATCAGTAAACTAGAGTGAAAATAAAAGCTTCATTAAAGCTGCAGTAAAACTTGTTAAAAACCCCTAAGACTTATTCACTGAAATATGTGAAATTTACAGCAACCAATGCCTGTTTTATAGATAAAATAGCAGGTGGATTTCAATGATAAAAAATTATATAATAGGAACAACTTATGTACTGTTTGCCAAATTTCAACAAATAATATTTGATGATGTTTGATTGACTTAAGACACATAGCAAGTTTGATAGACTTTATTTCGGGAGCAGTTTACACTGTTTTTAAGAATCGTTTGACGGTAAAAAAAAAAACCGTAGTACTTAAAGGTCACCCTATATTTTGAAAAATGAGTAAAAACGACAGCATGTACGAATGTCTTTACAATTATTTTAAAATATCAGTAATTGTAATTATACACGTTTATTTGAAATTCAAACAGATAATGAAACAAAATTTACCATAAGATGTACTTGACAAAAACAGCGAAGGTCTGAAAAGAGCAAAGAATTGCAAGAGCACAAAGACAGATTTATATGCGATTTTCTTGAATATTAATGGTATTGTTGTTCAAATTCGTATTCGGGGAAACAGTTTAATTTCTGGAGGAGCCTAGAAAGTAAAAATTTTGCAAAAAAAAAATCGAAAGGTTTATTAGAGAAAGGACACAGAATCAGGAATCCACTACATTTCTTTAAGACAGAGTTCAAACCCGCACTCCCTGAAGAGTAAAGGGGTTTTGGGGATAAACAGAAACTTAATGTTTCTTCACATTAACAATATTCGCCAGATCTTTGACCATTTTACTTGTTTCTATTTCCAAACTTGAAAAAACACCTTTCAGAAGGAAGAAACAAGTCAAGGAAATCATAGAATCTGCCATTTTCCAGTATGCTATCGGTCATACCCAAAATTGAGTTCTAAAAACAATAAGAGATTGGATAAAAATGTTACGGACATCTGTTTTAATTTAAAGAGAATATTTAAAACAAAATCATTGAAAAACGTCTTTTGCTTCTTTCCGAGCACCGAAGACATTATTTATTGAACAGCCCTCGTATTATATATTGTTCTCTATAATTTAGATGTCCATAAACCTACTGCTCAGCCACAAGTATCGAAAACAGTGCCACAAAATAGCCCAAAAATTTGCAAACCAGAAGTTGAGATCATTGTAGGCGCGTTAAATAATGTTCAGGTAAGTATCCATAGAGTCCTAGAATCTCAATGGGCACCTAAATAAACACCTATCTCGAATTAAGATTCTCCTAGGGTTTTCAAGCCGTAATATTTCAACATCAATCAAAATGGATAAAAACATTCCTTTTATGTGATGTTGTTGAACGATATAGGCAGATGTGTTAGTGTGTAGTGGACCAAAAGACTTACAACTTAGCAATGGAGGATTGTCTGAAGCTTTGTTGAGAATTGCTGGTCGACAAATGCAAGATGAACTAAACAATAATTATCCCAATGGTGTTGAATACGGAGACATTTCAGTCAGTGGAGGTTATCAACTTCCATGCAAATTTGTGTACCACGGAGCCCTGCCAAAATGGGGAACAAACCAACCTGATCCATCATCTGTAATTCTAATATTATAATAATTTCTTAAATACATAATAATTTAATAAAACATAACGATAAACACATTTGAATTTCAGGTTGTTTTATACAAACATTTTCATTGATAAATTCCATTGATTCGATTGGTAATTATGATGCTTTTGGTATTTTCAGACGTTAGAGAAATTCATGGAAAAGTGTCTTGAAACTGCAAATAATCATTCTACAAGATCCATTGCTTTTCCAACGCTTGGAGTTGGGTCCTTACATTATCCCAGTGATCAAACAGCAAAGCTGATGGTTAAAGCAATACGAGATTTTACTACAAAACATTCTCGCATGAATATCAGGAAAATTAGCATTGTAGTATATAATGGAAGCCACGACTGGTCCAAGGTTCAAAATGTAAGTGTTGTGACATCCGCTTCCGTTTTGTGTTTTGCTTTGCGATTAAAAAGTATAACATCTGCTATGAAGAAAACTGAATATCAGTGTAGTTTGCAAATCGACTGTCAAGAAATCGGCTTTATGTTCCTCAGTTTTCCTGCCAAACAACTGAGATTGTCGTTAAAAATACATGTATAATAATAGTATGCAAAATTTTATTTAAAATGTATTCTGGAAAGACAAATGTTTTTTCGGGGGTGTGTGTGTGTGTTATTTTTAAATACTTGTATTCTTCCAACAGCTTAAAGAGTTTATTTTATTATATTGAGATTAAACAAAACAATGAATATTTGGAAATAAATTAAATTTTCTTGCATCAAGAAGTCACAAGCAAGATCTAGAGTAGGAAAGAAACAGTAATCAATTCTAAAATCATATTCGATTGATAAAATAATATTTTTTCTAAATTAATTGTACATTGCTTTTAGTTAAATGACTGAAAATTTAAATTTATTTTCTTTAGGAATTTATGTCAGAATTAAATGGAGGACCATCGAGGGTCACTGCTGTTCCGGGGACCCCAGGTTTGTGTAAGTACATGTATCACTATTCAAATACATAGCATCTTTTTAATTCATCTGCATTCAACGAGATTTCATATAAAACGTTTCCTTTTGATTTTGAATGCAAAGAGCCATAGCTGTCTTACCGACGACTCGGCCTACTCAAGTATTTAAAAGGAAATCACCTGTTTCTATTTATAGATACATGTACCTTTTTGTCCCCCGCTTTCGCAAAAGCGAGGGGACATTAAATCTCATTCGTCTGTCTGTCTGTCCGTCTGTCCGTCAGTCTGTCAGTCTGTCCGTCACAAAAACTTTAACCTTGCCCATAACTTTTGATTTAGTGGAGCTATAACTCTCATATTTCACATGTGTATTCCTTGTGACAAGACCTTTCTTTAGGTACCACCAAATTTGATCTCTTGACCTTAACCTTGGAGTTTGACCCACTTTTACACAAAAATTCCAAACTTTTACTTTGGCCATAACTTTTGAATAGTAGGTACTAGGACTTTCATATTTCACATATGTATTGTTTGTGGCAAACATTTCATTGGATACCAACAACCTTGACCTTTTCACCTTGATTTTGGAGATTTACGTACTTATGAAAAACTTTAACCTTGACCATAACTTTTGAACGGTGAGGACGAAGGCTTTCGTACTTCACATATGTAATCCTTGTGAGAAGACCTTTTATTGGATACCAATAACTTTTGCCCTTTGACCTTGACCTTGGAGTTTAAATTACATTTTAAAAACTTTAACCTTGGTTACAACTTTTAAACAGTAGATACTAGGACTTTTATATTTCACATATGTATTCCTTGTGGCAAGACATTTCATTGGATACCAACAACTTTGATCTTTTGAGCTTGACCTTGGAGATTTATGTACTTATGAAAAAACTTTAACCTTGACGATAACTTTTGAACGGTGAGGACTAGGGCTTTTATACTTCACATATGTGATCCTTTTAAGAAGACCTTTCATGGGATACCAATAACTTTTACCCTTTGACCTTGACCTTGGAGTTTTAACTACTTTTTAAAAATACTTTAACTTTTGTCACAACTTTTGAACGGTAGATACTAGGACTTTTATATTTTACATATGTATTCTTTGTGGCAAATCCTTTCATTGGATATCAACAACTTTGACCTTTTGACCTTGACCTTGGAGATTTATGTACTTATGAAAAAACTTTAACCTTGACGATAACTTTTGAACGGTGAGGACTAGGGCTTTTATACTTCACATATGTGATCCTTTTAAGAAGACCTTTCATTGGATACATATAACTTTAACCCTTTGACCTTGACCTTGGAGTTTTAACTACTTTTTAAAAATACTTTAACTTTTGTCACAACTTTTGAACGGTAGATACTAGGACTTTTATATTTTACATATGTATTCTTTGTGGCAAATCCTTTCATTGGATATCAACAACTTTGACCTTTTGACCTTGACCTTAAAGATTTATGTACTTATGAAAGAACTTTAACCGTGACCATAAATTTTGAACAGTAAGGGCCTGGGCTTTCATACTTCACATATGTAATCCTTGTGAGAAAACTTTTCATTGGATATCAACAACTTTGACCCTTTGATCTTGACCTTGGAGTTGACCTACTTTTAAAAAACTTTTTACTTTGGCCATATTTTTTTAACGGTCAGGATTAGGGTTTTCATCCTTCAAAAAAATCAACTTCAGTGTTACTTTCTAAATAAGTGACATATGATAGGATGTTCGTATTACACACAATATGTCAAAAAAATAACATCTCACCCACAAAGACACCGAAAGCGGGGGACCACAATTCTTTGAATTTGCTAGTCAATTCAAAATCATACTACATGTATGTAATCATTTGTGAACCAGTGTTATATTTTCATAGTTGCAAGTTTGTTGCATGACAGTAATTTTACTTGTCCAATACTCTTATTCTAAATAAGATTGTTTGAAAATTTTAAAAATAAAACAGGCTAGCAGCTATGACTTTGGGTCATCAAAATAGTTTAAGACTGTTTTCCCCAAGAAACTTTCAATGTAAAATGTTGTATTATATATCTCTTTTAAAAATATTTATAATAATATGTATTATAAAATAATAAAAGAAAACGTAGGAAATTGCACACATAGAAAGTTAAATCTTGGTTAAGTAACACGCACTGTTAGACTCGAACTCACGATCATTATGTCTTCTATCCAGCAATCATACCTCTACGCCACGAAGTCTTCGTAATCAAACGGATAAAATTAAGACAGATTGTTGAATTTTGAAGTAATTTTAGAAGAAAAATTAAATGCATATTTTCAAAATTATCTAAACGTAATGAAGTGCAGTCATATCCAAATACAATTATTCAGAAATTGTTTTTCTGGTTAAGGGTGGTCTTTTCCTACAGTTTGTCATTGTTTAGGGGGTACCTCAGTATTTACTGTATTCTCCATATAAACTGAACGTTTTTTATAACTATCATATGAGGGCACTATTAATAATTGAGCATTATTTTTGTGTGAGTTGCTTTAAGGCATGAATTAACTAACATTGTATGACAAAATTTTGGTAAAACAAAGTATTTAAAAAATCACTAATAGAGTAGGCGAAAGTGACTATCAAATGCGCTATGGCTCTTTCTTTGCATAGCAATGATATTTTTTAATGTGGAAAATCACTAAGCTTTAAAACTTTTATATATTTGTTTCACATTGTAATTTTCTTTTAAGCCACTAGCTCTCTGACCCGACAGTCATGTTCTGGTCAGGTTGGGGGTATCCCTGTCACAGTACTGGTGGGGAGTCTTGTTGAACAAAAGGTAAACACCACTATGTTATTCTTTAATTAGAGCTCAAAGACATACTTCAACCAATAGTCATGAACATCGATTGCTTCACTTTATACTTAATATTACAGTTCAAAAATGTGTTAAAGTTTCAATATCGAGTCTCAAAATTTCCATGATTTTTTTAATAGGTGAATGTGATTGTTAACAGCGTTGCCCATGATCTCGCAATGACGTCAGGAACGTCTGCTGCAATAGGTTCAGCAGCAGGACCTTGGTTGTCTCAAGAACTGGCTCAAAATTATCCTCAAGGAATTAATCATGGCGACATCGCTGTATCCAAGGGACACAATCTGAGCAGCAACGAAGTTTATCATGGCACTCTGTTACCATGGTATTCAAAACGTTCCGGAAGTACGAAACTTCCTGATGAGGTTAGCAAAAATAAATCTTGTAAATTCGAAAATAGATGCCAAAAGGAAAAATAAACACAAAAACAGCTAGTTGGATCTTTAAGTTAATGACTTTGCATTGTAGTTGCTAGAGGATTTCGTCTTGGGTTGTCTGGAGAAAGCAAATAAAAGTGGCTATACATCAATAGCAATTCCAGCTCTTGGAACTGGGTTTCATAAATTTCCTGCAGACGTGGCAGCCGCAAAAATCGTATCTTCTGTAGAAAAGTTTTCTAAGCAACGACAGCAACAGAGTATCTCAGATATACGAATTGTACTGTATGGGGGTAGCACTGATTTACCTAAACTGGAAACGGTAAATACTCATTGCGTAAGATAACAGTTTGAAAAAAACATGATTTAGTTTGAATTAATTGTAAGTATATATTTTAGCAATCCATTCCCACACATTATATATAATTTATAGTATTTATAGCATCTAATATGTGTTTGAGCTACAATTTTGTAAACATACCTTGATAAAAATTATGATTAAAAAATATTTTAAATTATATAAAATTAAAATTCTCTATCTTTGCTTATACATTCACAGGCATTCAGGGACGAAATAAACCAGGTCAATTCTTCAGGTAAAACATATTTGTAATACAATGAATAACATAATACAACGAATGAACAAGTTAGAAATGCATTGTACAGGAATTACCGGTCAGTATTACGTCAACTCATTTTTAAGTTCATTTATCTATGTATTATTAAAGGTAAAACTTCTGCTGTCGCTTCAGTCCCAAACAAACCGAAGAACTTTCAATCAGTTCCACAACGAGGCACAAAAGCTTACCTTGATTACAAATATCGAGAAGCGCTCAGATCACCCCCCTACTGGACTAAATATACCTCCGACAAAAAACTCAAAGGATGGAATCTGCAAGTAAAAGCAGGAAAGTTCCATTTAGAAAATATTGACCAAGTCACTCATGGATCCATTGAAAATGCGTTAAAAAAGACTTTAGGAAATGCACAAATTGTCAGTATTCAGAGATTAGAAAATGTAGAATTGTTCCTGAAGTATGGAGAAGAATGCCAGAGGCTATTCCGAAAAGCAAGCGTAGAGGGAAATTTTACGTCACTGGATAAAATTCCACAGTCACATGGGCCTGTAAAAGCAATGCGTTCATTGGATCACTCAATGACGAAACATACTCATTCCGAAATAAACGAGTACTATTTTTTCCATGCCACGAAGTCCCATTATGTTGACGTCATTTGCAGTCAAGGATTGGACAGTCGGCTTGCAGCGAGTGGAAGACTTGGGGCGGGAGTGTATGGAGCTGAAGTAGCCTCCAAGTCACATCAATACGCAGGTATTCTCTAACCACTACACTGATCTTTTGGGAAGTTATAAAACTTTCTCTGAGTATGTGCAAGTTTAGTGCTCAAACTCCGTACTACAAAATCATATTCAGGCTCAAAGATCCTCCCTTAATTGTATGTAGAGAATCTTGTGTGTATAAGTAAGGTTCTAGAAAACGGAGTATGAGTTTGAGCCCAGATTACATACTCAAAATATTTTTAATATGCCTGCCAGGTTTATAGAATCTTACTGATAAGCATTACAGAAAAAAAAATTGCACATGCAAAAGAAACAGACAAAAATGTGTTTGAAGGAATATTTAATACATTCAATATTTCGAAAACTCCAAGATTGCAGAAAAATTAAACAGTTGAACAATTGGTCATATCGCTTTCAAGAAATTTTAAAACCATTTGTTATTACATATATTTCCGTTTCTTTTATATATAGGATGTGACAGCAAAAACCGTTACCCAATGTTTTTGGTAAGAATGAGTCTTGGTGACATTTATCTGACCAATTCAGGCGGAAATTATAAGAGACCACCATGCAAAATTTGTACAAATCCTGTATGTGCGACTCATCAGGAAATCCATGACAGTGTAATGGCCAATGGTGGAGCTTTTTCAGACCGAGAGTTTGTTGTTTATGACAGAAATCAGTCCTACCCTGAATATCTTATTTGGTACACTTGTTAGAGTGTGTTTCTGTTTGATCACATTTCATAATTTCTATACTGATATGTATGATAAAAACAAACGACTTTAAAGTCAGACGACACGTCTTTTAATACTCACTATTATCAAGTTTTATGAATTTTTATTGTTGTGTTAGTTCCTCATAATAAAAGTGAGACACATATTACCAAGCATTTATGACATATGTCAGAGGATGATGTTTCCAATAAAATCTTTCTGATTATCACTTGAATTGCTAATATCTCAACGTTTAGTGTATACACCGTTTATTTTATTCTAAGACATCTGTGAGACTTTAAATGTAATGGGTTTATTTTAATTTTTTTGAAAAGAGAAAAATTTTCTTTACTGTATCATATTAGTCCTAGTTCTATTTAATTGAGTATAACTATAAATGGAACTTTATGTCCTGAAAACTCTCTCAAAATCTTTTCTCCTTATCTTAGAGCCTTGTATGAAAAAAATGTTGACAATAATTGTTGAAGTATTTGGATGTTCAAAACTTTTGAATTAATAATATTCCATATAGACTATGAACATTTTATTTATGTTGTATTTTAATGTAGGTTAATTTATGACTGGACTTTTAAATTTTAAAGTTAAAAAAACATGTTCATTGACTTTCTACCCATTGTTTTATTGACTTATTTTAGTTTTGAATTTTGTCTGCAATGAAAATGAATATTTTGTTAAATTTTCTAGTTAGTACAGTGTAAGAACGCGGAAAAGAGAATGTATTTTGATAAATAAATATATATTTGAATTTCTTACGAGTGCAATAAATTTAATACATTATTTTTAGCAAGAAGAAATGGGAAAAAAGTTTGAAAACTTGAGCAGATAAGAAAGAAAGCAATATTTGTGTGTGTTTACGAATCACAAAATGACAGCTCATGGAGAAAGGTGATTTTTTTAATGCAAGTAAAACTCAAAGTTCAAGGTCAAGAGAACGAAAATAATGGTACCCAAAGAAATGTTTTGCAACAAGGAAAACACCGGTTATAGGAGAACTCTTGCACCAACCGTTGAAACGTTACGACCAAATTTATGTTTTTCAAAAGGAGTTCATCCTTCGTGGTCAAAGTCAAAGGGTAAAAAAAAATATGGAAGGTCTTGTCATGAAAAATAAACACAAGTGAAACAATTTCAAAATGTTTTAGAAATGTATGAAGTTTTCTAACTGCAGAATTTATAAGAGAATGGGGTATTTTCAATAGTGTAAAACATTTTATACAATTCAAATTTCTTCATTACATTTTAATTGAAAGAAAAATTGAAAAAAAAATACCATTGGGACTCTTCTATGTTGGAGATAAGAAAATTTTTTATGGTATGTATCCTTAAAATGTGCTTATAGTGTTAATCCGTACAGGGTTTGATCTGAAAAATGATCGAATGACTCAAAGGAAACATTAATGCAGCAAATGAGATCTCCTATTGCATACATTTATGTCATATGTTATTTTTCCAACATACACTCGCGAGGCACACTCTTCATCTTTTAGTTTCAATCTCTTTTTTAAATATTCATATTGAAGAGGGACTATGATTTTGGGGGAGGGGTCTCTACATTGAAAGGAGAGTCAAAATTGTCAAACAGGTACAACAGTAAAACTTGAGAAATAAAAAAGACCAAAAACTTAAAAATAAGAAAGACCATGCATGACTAAAAAATGCTTCATCTTATTTTTTTGTGTGTTTTCAAAAAATCATGTTTTATGTTTTGCATGCATAAATGTATCATAACCTTTCAATTAAAAAGAGTTCTAATGGGAAAGAATTGTGTTGTTTAATAACACTTAAGTTTCCATCTTGAATTAATACTTTAAAATCTATTACAAACTATAACGCAAATATGTTAGTTTGTAAATCTAGATATATATTAAATACCATAGATCATACAAGCCACAAGGAAAAATAGTTACAAAAGCAAGTTCATTGTCTTAAAATACAGCAACTATTTCCAAAGGCAAAGCGGAGGAAATATATGGTGTCCAAAAGGACACAATAAACTTGCTTTTATCCGGATTTTCAGTAGATAAATGAGAAATATACAGGATAAATTTTCATATAAGGTGTGCACTTGCGTCCTACAAACATTACTTGTCAGCGAATTTAAAATAGCGCAAATTCAAAGAACACGGTATAATTTCTTATGGCCGAGCAAATATGAAATTAGTATAAACTGTTTGCACTCCTTAAATGGCAAAAATAACAAGATGAATATATCTTAATTATATCAAAGCTGACCTTATTAGCTTCGCGTCAAGATTTGAATACCCCCCCCCCAAACGCGAGGTTTATGGATTGCCGATTTATAGTTCGATTACTATTTCCCCCTTGCCAAATATTAGAAAAAAATATTCGGGTTTGTTTAAAAAAAAAGGTGTTTATTCGTTATATTTCTATCTAAGATGTACAGCTGTATAATCATGTTACTTTTATAAGGGTATGCAACGTCATTTTTTCCTAAAGTTTTCTGCAATAATCTTTCAATTTTTATATCAAACTCATAACGAGTGATCTCTACAGGTGAAGCCAACCATAGGTTTCCTTTCTATATGTCTTTTTGACTAAATGTATCTTTAATTGTCGTCAATCTGTCCCACTTGATTTCAAACACGGCCCAATAGAAATTTTACAGGTGGGACCAGGTTGCTAGGAGGAGTAAGTATCCCCTGCCGACTGGTCACACCGATCGTGATCCCTTTGTATTCATCAAAAGGACATGATATTTCATAGTCAATTCAGAATAAAAACAAAGGCCAAAAAATCTATATGAACAGGTCAGCCAAAATACGACCCGACGAAAGGTTAAAGAATGGGTGGACTTAACGCCCTATTTTGGATCTTTTTGCGGCTCCTCTACGAAGCTGTAAATGAAGTGAATTCAAAATATATTATGGGCAAAGGAAAGAGCTACGTATACTTGGTTATATTAAGTGGAACATTTGTGCAAAAACAATGCCTTGTTGTCATGTATCAAAACTGAAGCAACGATACATGAGTGTCGTCTTCCGGAATTCGACATGTACCCGGAGTGGTTTTTATGTCACACAATCAATATTTATAGGAGGCGGGGCTATCGATTAGCGTCATTGTTGACATCTCTCTATCCCCCTCTCTCTCCAAAAATTCGAATACGTGTTTAGCATATTACAGCTATGTCAGTACGAAACTATTGTACAAATGTGATGACACGCAAAATTTAAACAATATTTAATTTGCTAAATTCTGAAAACGGCAACCAAATATGCTCAAAGATATGATTTAGATCGAGGTCAGGTTGAAGAATACAATGTAACTGACACTCACAGGTGGACATCACGTGATGAATTGTAATATTTAACAGGTCAAACGAAAACATAACAATGGAAGCGAGAAGTTTGTTTTGAACATGTTTTTGATAAATTAAGTGTGAGCACACTTTTGTCGGCTCTTCTCCTTTTAATATAACATTATTTTGTTCAATATACAACTACAGTTTTCTTAAGAACAGCCGACAAACATGTGTTGACTATGTATTCAGACGATGAAAAACGCGCGACCTTGATTATCTATTGATATTCAAGAAATCTTAAGGCACCATGCCTTCGATATTTATTTAGTTTACCTCGAAAAGAGCGTTTTAAATTCACATCCGTACCATGAATATACGGTTAAGATATCGGGGGTTTATATGATGGGAAAAAATAACCATTTTCTGTAACTTAAATTTACGGCATTTTTTCTGGCCAGTTAAGTCCACCCATTCTTTGCTAACAAGGTCATTATTACGATCATGAAGACTTTGAACGGGCTTGTTGAAGTTCATGTGACATAAACTTATCTGTCAGTATGCTGCCTTGCTTTATAGAATGATCGTTCTCGGAGCATTTTCTCGAGTATCGAATAAGTTCAGATATGTAAACATCATATGCAGGTGATTGTGTGATATTGCTTAATAAATCAGGAAAGTTGACGAAAAGATGGAAGATATACTGTAAAATGTCTTCTATTTATTGTTGTTTCTCATCAATCGCTTATTTCCTTATGACAACATTTTCCCCCATTCCATCTGTTATGGTTACTTGTAGATTAACTAAACAAATTTCCTTTTAAAGACAATTTTAGATACCTTCATAGAAATATAGTCGTGCCAGATAAAAATATTCTTCTCTTGTACATCACATTACATAAAAGGTAAATAAAAAGAAAATTATATAGTCAAGTTAAGTCACAAACTTGTTTTTGCTTACATTTTTCGCTAACAAGGAAGATAAACTTCACATGACATTCCTTTTGTTATCTGAAAGTATACTGTATCTTAGAAGTACTGGTATGTAAAATGTTTTAGGCAATTACACACATATTATGTAGATTTCTCAGAAACACTGTATTTTGTCAGTTTGGATACAAAACAATGTATGTGATAACATGTCAGACTTTGAATTTATAAAATCTTCTGCTTCTTGGCTGATAAAAATTTCAAACATGGCTTATCAAAAGTACTTGAATTATTAATATAAAATCTTCAGTTTTCAGTGATCAACAGAGAGTTTCCTGAGGCATCGTTAAAAATGACCACAGACGGAGATTACCAATCTTTTAATATCGGCAATATTAGAGTCCTCCTTAGCAAAGGGAATCTTTGTGAGCAACAGGTAAATTTTATAGCTTATTAGTCCCCTATCGGCAAAACAGTAATGGACTCTATCAGTTTTCTCCTCGTATGTATGTCTCTCTGTTCGTCTACCTGTCTATCTGCCCATCAGTCTGTAAACTTTTCACATTTTAGACTTCTCCTGAACCATTGGGTCAGTTTCAACCGATGCCATAAAACATTCTTGGCCATATTCGTTTTTCGTTTTTTTAAGAGTAGATTGATTGATTGTGTATTGTTTAACGTCCCGCTCGAGAATTTTTCACTCATATGGAGACGTCACCGTATGCCGGTAAAGGGCTTCAAAATTTGACCTTTACTCGGCCCTCAGGGCCATTGAGCAGTGAAGGATCTTTATTGTGTCAACGCCTGCCGCTGACACGGGGCCTCGGTTTTTAAGGTCTCATCCGAAGGACCCGCAACTTTCACTTCAAAGTGCCGAGTGCATAGCGAAGGAACAGTTGCTACCCATTTTTTATTGACTTGGGTCACTCGTGGCCGAGATTCGAACTCACGACCTCCCGATCACGGAGCCAGCGCTCTACCGACTGAACTACCGTGAACGGTTTTTAAGAGTAGATAATATAGAATAAGTTAAAATTAAGTGGCACCTTTACGAAAGCCCAGAAGGCTCATTCGAGATTCAAGTTTCGAAATACGAGATTCGAAATTCGAGATTCGTAATTCGAGTTTCGAAATTCAAGATCCAAACT